ATAAAAATAAGTCATTTTCAAAAAGTAGATCAGTACCTAGCAGACTAGGCCAGGAAGTTAAGGGAGTGGGATATGAGGGCTGCTAAGAGACACAAGGTTTCTTTTGGCATAGATGGAAATGTTCTATTGTGATGATTACACAGCTCTATAAACATACTAAAAAGCCACTGAAATCTATACTTCAAATAGGTAAATGTTATAGCACATAAATATTTCAATAAAGCTATTTAAATAACTCATTCTATAACTTAAAGATAGAATTCCCAAATCACTCATTTTAAACTACATGTATAAAAGGCATAACTCATTTAATAAGCCAGAAATATCTATTTTTAATCTGTAAATTTAACCTGTTAATATCTGATGGAATTTAAAGTTGCTTAGTTCATTATAATCATTTTTATTATGAAATAATCGGTTTCATTTTCAGCTGTACAGGAGTTACATACATCTGACAATTACTAAGTGAGCAGATTTAGGGAAGACATGGTATCTTGCTTTGTTCATAATCATTAATTAATTCCACATGGTAGTATTATAAATAGGATCCTAACAGATTTAATAGTTGTTTTCAATTTAGAACATAAGTAAAAGCCAAAGCTAGGGGGTTATAAAAACTTATTCAGAAAGTATTTTATGACCTTGCCATAGTAAAAGTACATAGTCGATAACGTACATTCAAGGCCTTGACGTATTCAAGTTCTAAATGTCATAAGTACTAAAACACAAATAATTACATTTATATATTCTAATAATGTCTGATGTATTTGTGTAATACTGTTTTTATTAGTATTTCATGGTATATCTCTTTCCATTCTCATACTTTTAATCTTATGTTTAAGGGTATCTTTAAAACTCAAAATAACAAACTTGTATTAAAAGGGGAGATATATTTTTCAAAAGTGCCATTATCATAGAAGAAAAAAAAAACCATGATAAATGTTCACGTTTAAAGACAACTAAATGCAATACCTGATGCTAAACTGGTTTCTGTACTGGAGAGGCAAAAACACTCCTATGTAGAACATTACTGGGTCAGTTGACAAAACAAGAACACAGAGAGCGGAGTAAATAACTTGAAGTCAATTTTTCAAAAAAAAAAGTGAGAGGGAGAGAGGGGGAGAGAGAGAGAGAGAGAGACACCATATATACACAGATAGAGAAAATAGGTAATAAAGTGGTAAAATATTAAGAAAAGCTGAATCCAAATAAAGAGGCATATGGCTGTTCTTTGTACTACTGTTATTATCACAACTTTTCTACAAATTTAAAATTATTTAAAAATTTAAAAAGTAATAAAGTATCATTAAATGCATCTTTTAAAATAGCATGATTGGGTCTTGGTTTTGTTGTTTTTTATTTTTTAATCCAGTATGATCTCTGTCTTTCAACTGGACTATTTAGTGTATTTGCATCTAATGTGATTATTGATGTGGTTGGTGTTAAGTCTACCATCTTGCTTTTGGATTCTATTCATTCTATCTTTGCTTTGTTCTTTATCATTTCTTTCTTCCTTGTTCTTTTTCCTCCTTTCCTTTCTTTTGAATTAACCAAATATTTATTCACTGTTCAATTTTATCCCCTCAACTGGTTTCTTAGCTATGTATCTATCTCAGATAATGTTTGCTCTAGGAATTGAAATATGTATGCATAACTTATCACAAGCTACCCTAAACATTATATCCCTTCATGTAATATGTAAGAAATTCACATAGCATACTATCATTTACAGTACTCCGATCTTTTATGCAATTACTGTTATACTTTGCATTTCAAAGTATATTATAAAACCCACATATACTGTAATTGTTTTTGACTTAAACAGGAATTTTTTTAATTCTTTAAACAAAAATAAAGAAATCAAGAAATGGGGGAGGAAGCATTTTATTTTTGTCCACATATTTACCATTTCTGGCCCTATTTACTTTTTTCTGTAGATCTAAATTACCATCTGGTATTATTTTCCTTCAGTTTGAAAAACTTTCTATAACATTTCTTTAAGTGCAAGTCTAGTGGTGACAAATTCTTTAAGTTGTAGTTCATTTGAAAATGTCTCTATTTTACCTTCATTTTAAAGAACATTTTCAGTAATACAAAATTCTGGATTGACAATTTTGGTTTTTTTCCAGCACTTTTAGAATGAATACATTGACTTCTGGCTTGCATTGTTTCTGATGAGAAGTCACTGATAATTTTCATCACTGCTTGTAGGCAATATGTCCTTCTTCCTCTGGCTATTTTTAAGACTTTGTTTCTTTGGTTTCCATAATGTGCATATGTGTTGATTTTCTTTGTGTTTATCTTGCTTGGGATTTGTTGTTTCTTTCATCTGTGGGTTTATGTTTCTAAACAAATATCAAACGTTCTGTTATTTCTCCTGATATTTTTCTACCCCAGTCTCTCTGTCCTCTTGCCTTCTGTACCTGTAAACCATGCAATTGTTAAACTGCATAATACCTTGAAGATATTATAGCTTTGTTCATTTTCCACTTGTCCATTTTTTCTCTGTGCTTTGAATTGGATGATATAGATTGATCTATCTTCAAGTTCACTGATCCTTTCTTCTACAGTATGTAATCTGCTGCTAAATCCATCTGGTGAATTTCTCATTCATTCATTCATTCATTCATTCATTTGAAACGGAGTCTCACGCTGCCAACAAGGCTAGAGTGCAGAGGCACACTCTCGACTCACTGCAACCTCCACATCCTAGGTTCACGCAATTCTCGTGCCTCAGCCTCTTGAGTAGCTGGAATTACAGGCACCCACCACCACTCTCAGCTAATTCTGTTGTATTTGTAGTAGAGATGGGTTTCACCATATTGGCAGGCTGGCCTCGAACTCCTGACCTCAAATGATCCACCTGCCTTGGCCTCTTAAAGTGCTAGGATTACAGGCGTGAGCCACCAAACCTGGTGAATTCGTCATTTGAGATACTTATTTCTATCAACTTTTTTATCCTGGTTAAGAGTCACATTTTCTGGGTTTTTAACAAGCATAATAATTCTGTGCTAGACATTGCAGGTGCTTTGTTATAGAGAAACTGGATTATGCTGTCTTACTTTAGAGAGAGTTTTGTTCTATCAGACAAGAAATTTACAGGTGGATCAAGATGATAAAATAGAGGCCTGGTTTGGGGCTTTGTTGTATGAGATCTATAGTAACCTGTCTTCTACTCTTCGAATGGCCCTACTCATAAGGTGTGACCTTTCTGAGGTCACAGCTGAAAACGCAGTATGTTCAGCAAGCTCTCCCCACACTGGCTGGTCTGAGCTCCAACACTGCTGAGAATTTTCCAACTTCTGAAATCTTCATTCAACTCACAGTCCCAAAGTAGCTGTTTTCTGCTAAGCCTTGTGCTATACACAGCTTTATATCTGACCAAAGGGCTAATAATTTGGAAAGTATCCCTCAGGAAGATACAGGGCTGAAGGTGGAGCTCACCTAGTGTGTTCTTTTTTCTCAGCTGTCTGTGCTGACTACCTAAGTTGCTTATGGCAAAAGGTAACTTCATCAAGATGAGAAGCAGAAGTCCCTAATTATTCTAATTATGTTTTATCTAGCATTAAAATCCATTATCTTATTTCATACTTAAACATGGATATGAAAGGCACACATTATTTACATAGGACAGATAAGAAAATCAAGATACAAAATGTTAAATAACCAGCCTCCAATCCATAAAGATATTTTATTCAATATACAAATATTCACCAAGCACCTACTATAGGCATGGTAATTGGCAAAGCAGTAAAAGGAACTCAGAGAATGTAGTTTCAACCAATATTATTTCTACTGAACCACCAGTAAAGCATACACACTGTACCAAAAGATGTCTAATGAATGAAAAACCAAGAATCAATCATTCAATCCACCAAGAGCAAGTCTACATTCTGAAAAATGACCATAATTTACATTCATGATTCACTTTTCCTGCAAAGACTCCTATCTGCCATGCAAGTAATTTTATTCCTCCACAGTTACATTTTCCAATTCCCTACATATACTTAATTTTTTTTCATATTGGCAGATACTATCTAAGTCAATTCTATTTAGTTATGTGAAACTTGCTTCAGCTAACTCTTAATTATATTTCTAATTTCCATCTGGCCAAATAAAATATATTTTGCTCACACATGGAGAAAAAATATAATACAATTTCTAAATATCATCTCAGCAGCATCATACCAAAGAGAAATATCGTTCCTCTAATCTTCAACAAATCAAGTGAAATGATACATTTACACCTTACATATCAATTTTCATCTCTCAAAATAAGCTCTGTTCTGTCATGTAACCCACTATATGCAGAAGTTTACTGAAAGCGAATAGTCAACAAAATTAAGCTCCATACATGTTTATAAAATCATGCTTAAGAATATTTTAATATTATTACCTTAATATATTACTAATTCCAATGAAGTAAAGTATACTAAAACAGAAAGCCAGATACTATACATATTAAGAATATACTTCTATTTTTAAAGTCTGGCCAAAAAAAAAAGAAATTTGTTACTATGTCTTGTTTTTTGTTCTTTTTTTTTTTGGCCTGTCACCCAGGCTGGAGTGCAGTGGAATGATCTTGGCTCACTGCAACCCCTGCCTCCTCAGTTTAAGTGATTTTCCTGCCTCAGCCTCCTGAGTAACTCAGATTATAGGCACCCACCACCATGTCCAACTAATTTTTGTAATTTTAGTAGGGACGAGGTTTCCCCACGTTTGGCCAGGCTGGTCTCAAACTCCTGAGCTCAGGGATCTGCCCACCTTGGCCTCCCAAAATGCTGGGATTACAGGCGTGAGACACTGCACCCACCCTGTTAAAAAGTTTTCTGAAGATGGTAGAAGTTAATGCCATCAGCGGCATCAGATTCAAATGCAAGCATTACTTTCTCACCCTGTTTATGACTCTTAAGATAATGTTTTAGGTGGCTTGTTGTTGCTGTTGTTGTTCTAAACTGTTACTATGAATCAAGATGACACCCTTTGTAAAAGGCGCTTACCTGTAGAACATCCTGGATCTTCACCCACACATCTGCCATATCATACAATTTGATATCTTCCTGCTGAGTCAACGGAGTCACTACAGCGTCCTGCAGGTATCCCAGGACTACAGAGTGTGCAGTGGCTACAGCATTAAACTTGTCAAACAATAACTCCAGCAGTTCTAGAAGCAACCTAGTGACATAAACAAAGAAATAACATTTACACATATTCACACCTGCATATTAATGGCATGCAGTAACCTGCAAGAAAAACATCAAACTAAAGCAACGTAGCATTCTACAATGTAAACAGCATAAATGTTAGACTTCAGCAGATGTGAATTCAAACAACTGTATGATCTAAGCGACTTTTAAAAACTTATCTAAGCCTCAGTTTCCTCTGCTATAAACTAGAAATGATATAAGAATCTTAAAACCAATTGTAAAGTCCGTAAACCAGCAATAGCATCTCAACAAACATTTGTTGCCTTTGTAACACAGTTCACTGATTACAATAATACTATGTATTCATGCAGGTAGCTTCTCCAAGGAATTCACGCAATTTTTTCAGACAACAGCTCAGATGTCACACAGAATATGCTTTTCCCTAGCAATAAATTAGGCACTTTGATACAGATATTAATCCTTTTAGTCATGGAAAACTATGCTTACTACCATACAAATGTATGGCCTGAGTTGCCTGAAAAAAAATATACACCTGCCAAGCAATCTTTCACCACAGGGAGCAGTTTAGGCATCCATATTATCTCATTCATCATAGTGAGATATGCTGGACACATATTATTACATCAATTTTATATACTCAAGGACACAAAATAAGGTTGCAGTGCAGCTGGGCCTAGAAAAAAAGTTGATTTCCATGTCAGTGCATTTAGCCACCTACCTCTCACTACAGTTCTAAAATGCAGATGTATCTTTAGAGATAGCTCAGAGATTTACATCACAGATGCAAAGTAATTCCTCTACCACTGAGCCTTACAGCTTCAGTGATCACGCAGATCTGGAATCATCCTTTCCTCCTCTGAACTTGTACAGTATTTTGTCCTGTTTCTAAGGAACTTATCACATGTGCCTCACATATGTGGTTCAATCGGTATCGGTCATATTTATTTATACATAGACATTTTACCTCACTTCTCTGTCATTAAGCTTTCAGAGCAGGCACTGCTTTATACATCTCTGATTAGCAACACTTAGGACAATGATTAGCAAACATTACAGAATGAATTTAATGTGTACAGCATGAATGAGTACAGAAAATCCTGGAATGTGAGCTTTATTGTATATTTTATGGCTCACGGCCTATAATTCCTAAATAGACTGATAAACCAACTTGGAAAGTTGAAAAGGAAAGCAAAAGAGCTTGTCAGCAGTGTCAATTTACAAGGTTTTATTACCATAAATAAGGAGTTATAACTACAATCTCATCAAAACGTACAGCATATTATCTATTCCTATGGCTTCTTTACTGCCCAATTATTGTAATTAATGTGCCAATGTGACAGTCCATAACTATCTTATGGTAAAATCCTAATATCTATTTGACATTGTAATTCAGATGAGATAAAAATCAATAGAATTTATGTAGTACTCCCAGCCTAGAATACACATACATAATCCAGAAATTACACATTGTATTTATAAATAGAAGCTATTCTACCTTTTGACTGATTATTCTTTTTGATCCTTTAAAGGTCAAATTCATATTTATACTCACATGTATCTAAAATAATTCCACTTTCTCATCTGTGTTACTAGAGAACTACTTGAATATCAGCAGAGATACACACAAAATACAGAAGTATGTGTCTAAAAATACCCAAAGGAAACAGTTACTATGGTGTAGGGAAATAATCGGTATAAAACTGGTACCTGGCATCATACAGATCAGTAACTTAATCAGTAAATACCTGATTAAGTGAAGGTTCTACTTTTCCATCAAAGCTTTACGCTAAGTATGTAAGACTGTGGTTCTCAAATATGAATCTATAGACTGTAATATGTTTTTGAGTGGTGGATAGCAAAGTAAGAACAAGATATTGACTTTTCACAAAGGTAAATTTTTCTGACATTACATCTTTTGCACTCCCTTGATAGGAAAATCTTAGTTATTTTCTGCCATGATGGCAGTTATGGTACCAAATTTCCTTACTGGAGAAAATTAAAACTTAGTAACTATATATTAATACCCCAACATTTTTTGATATCATATTGATCCATGACATTCAGATGCCTAAGGCACACTGGTGTCTCATGTCCCAGTGGCATGAAGTTCTAGATACAGGATTGTGAACCAGCAGCAAAGTTTTCATGGAAAAGTGGCTCCTCTTATTAGGGATGCTGTTATCTGGTTATCTCCAGGGCCAACGAGTTCCATGACTGCGTACCTTGCCTGTCAGTCAAGCACAAGAGCTGCTCAGCAGCCAGGAGCAGTGCTACATTTAGAAAAGAAACCCAGTAGAGAAATGAGGTGTAAGATGAGATTCACAGCATCTATTAATATCTTGGAAATAGCAATCTCTTTATAAAATGCTGACACAGTGCCAGCTTCTGCCACTCCTGGAGGCTCAAAGTCAAAACAGGCCTGTTCCTACAGTGTGGTCATCATAGCCACAGAACAGCCTACACAGGGAGGAAGTAAAGGAGTAGCCAGGAGGAGATAGATCACATAGACAGATAATAATAGCTAGGAGGAGATAGACCACAAGTGGTGAGACCTCACAAGGAGCTCTACCTATGTTGAGACCTCCAACCATTTTAACAAGAGGAAAGTTCTGTCCACCTTACCAAAGCACAATGGTGTCCTATTATTTAATTAAATGCACAGCTCTGACACCAAAATGTAAGATGTTTGTGCTTCAAATGATACCATCATGAAAAAAAAAGGCAATACACAAAATGGGAAAACATATTTGAAAATCATTAATCTGATAAAAGACAAATCTAAAATCTCTCGTACACTCATAATCAAAAGACAACTGAATTTAAAAATGGACAAAGGATTTAAATATCCATTGCTCCAAAGAAAATATATGAATGGCCAATAAGCAAACAAAAAAATGCTTAACACCATTAGCCATCAGAGCCATAGCAAATCAAAATCACAATGAGAGAGAAATTCAGTCCACTAGAACAACTATAATCAACAAGAAAAGCAAGAAAAAGTATCAGTAAGGATGTAGAGAAATTGGAACTCTCATACAGGGCGGGTGGAAATGTAAAATGGGACAGCTGCTTTGGAAAGCAGTTGGCAGTTCCTCGAGACATTAAATGTAGTTACTATATGGAGCCAGTGATTCCATTCCTAGCTATATGCCCAAGAGAAATGAAAACATGTACGCACAAAAACTTGTATACAAATGTTCTTAGCAGCATTATTCATAACAATCCAAAGATAGAAACAATCCAAATATCCATCAGTTGATAAATGGATAAACAAAATGTGGTATATCTATACAATAGAATATTATTTGGCCATAAAAAGGAATGAAGTACTGATACATGGTATGATCAGAATAAACCTTGAAATTATTATGCTAAGTGGAAAAAGGTCACATGATTATAGTTATATAAAATGTTCAGGGTAGGCAAATTTAGAGAGAGACAAAATACATTAGTGGTTATTTAGGCTGCGGGTAGGTGGAAACTGACTGATAAAGTATATGGGATTTGTTTTAGGGAGGACAAAAACATGCTGGAACCAGCTAGTGGTGATGGTTGCAAAACTCTATGCACGTACTAAAAACCACTGAATTGTATACTTTCAGTGGGTGAATTGCACAGTAGTGAATTATACCTCAATATAGCTGTTAAAAGAACAGCAGCTGTGGCTCTGAGTGGGGAGGGTAAAGATCCAACACCTCTCTAGCAGTTAACAGGAAATATATAAAACTGAAAAATGGAACCTGGCGTCTCAAAAAGTGAGCTGTTGTGAAAGCTGATTCCTTTACATTCTTACTACCATGAGGATGTTAACTTTTCTCTTTTAATTCTCTTGGTTTTTAATCTGTTTCTCCTTCTTAAATAACATGTAAGAAACAACAGATTTCCACTCTTTCCCAGCACTGACACTTCCTACAACTTCCATTATGAAAAAAATCTCCCAACTTCTCCAAGTGCCCCATCTGCAAAGCAAAAGTATTATTTAATAACTGTTCTGAGAGACTCACGACACTGCTGGAAAATCGTATTGGAAAATGGACAGAACTAGCTGAGGTGACGGTACAATGCTAAAGAGAGGGGAAGGTTCAGGATTCCTTTGTCTGAATTTCTGGCAACAGTGAGAAGAATGGATACCTTTGCTGTGTGAAAGGAAAATAAATCTTGGGACCCCAAAATCACTAAGCCAAAGAGCAAAGTAAAGCTGGGAACTGCTTAGGGGAAATCTGCCTCCCATTCTAGTCCTTAAAAAGACAGGTACAAAGATTTCTTTTAAAAGCTACATACCTCCCTCACAATTTGTCCACACGGAAATTCCTAGTGGACAAAGAACAGACAGACTCAATGTCATCTCTCTGGTCACTGAGATAAATTTGTATCTGATTGCTTCCTCTGGAAAGGCTAATCAGAAACTCAAAAGAATGCAACCGTTTGTCTCTATCTATTTACAACCTGGAAGCCACCTCCTCACTTCGACTTGCCCCAGCGTTCTGGACAAAACCCATGTATATTTTACACATATTGATTGATGTCTCATGTCTCCCTAAAATGTATTTTTTAAAAAAAAGCTGTGCCCTGACCATCTTGGGCACATTTCTTAAGGACCTGAGGCTATGTTATGGGTGCATCCTTAACCTTGGCAAAATCAACTTCCTAAATTGAGACCCACCTCAGATACTCTTTGGTTTATGTGAGAGAGAGAGAGAGAGAGTGAGTGAGTGTGTGTGTGTGTATGTGTGTGTGTGTGTGTGTGTGTGTGTGAGAGAGAGAGAGAGAGAGAAAGAGAGAGCACGCACACTAAACTGAAGTGAAATTAGAAATCTGGAAGGAGAGATGTTGGGTTTTTATCTGGATATGTTAAGTTTAAGGTGTTATATCCTTAGGTAGTCAGATATGCAAGTCTGGAGCTCAGTAGAGAGAATGATACTGGAAATGTAAAAAGAGATAAATACTTGATGAGATGAGATCACTCAGGGATAATATGCAGAATAAGAAAAGCAAGTGAAGTCCAGG